GTGCTTCGATAACAGCTAATGTACCATAGATGTACAATTTTTTCCCATCTTGATTCTCTGATCTATATATAAATCAATATGAATATAATGTAGTTGATCAGTTGATTGGTTTTAAGTAAAACAAACATTTGTTGAAGCCTTTACTATGGTCAATAATGGCCATCACTCTGTAACTTATACTTGTGGAGGAATAAAATCATCAAAATTGTTTTTCCTTGCATAACATAAATCTTTAATTAACCTTCAGAATTTTTGTTTATGGATTTGTCCTGCTCCTATTTTGTAAACTGTCAATCATTAACTTTGGGGGTATCAAGGTAAAAATTAAATGGTATAGAGCCTGTTCAGACTGGCACTGAAATGGCAGGCTGGTCTGGGCCAGCTGTCAAGCATACAGTCACACTTTCTTATAAAAATGAAACCTCTAAGTCAATAAGGTTTCTTACTTCACAACTTCACAAGTCAATGACCTTATTCATCAGCAACCTAAACTTCTTGGTTAATCAACAACCTGAGTAGAACCATCGACGTTCATAAGCTAGCTGGGTAGCCTATTCATACGAAAGAATCCCTCGCAGCATTAGAAACCATCAGCAGTTAAGGGCAAATGGTTTGAAATAAATAATCTTAACAACTCAACCCCTTAATCATTATCTATAAGAACTGTCTGCATACCCTATTATGGTTTTTAGAAATATTCTCACTCCTGACTAACTAAAAGTATTTTGTATACCAATTTTTATTTTTACATGGCTTGTTTTCTTTTCTTCTACATAACATTTGATAGTTTATATAATTATATGCCACATGTTTGTTACATTGATTTTTATTGGACAATAGTGATGATTATATCATTTATATATATATTATATAAACACCTGCTGCAAGATTAAAACTTTATCTTAGTCAAACAAAGGAATAAAAAAGGAGTGTGCAGTGTCATATATTCAATTTTAATACCTAAGACAGGACTGAGGTTATATAGGAGTGTGTCAAGGATCTTGGGTTTAGGGGTGATATATTAACTATAGTAATACTGCTATGCATGATGGAATCAGCATTTTAAAAGGACACAAGACATTAGTAAAATATGTTCTGTGTAAGTAATGTAATCAAAATAAATATGCTATTACAGAAAAGGCAAAATAATACTATGTATAATTAGGCTTTAATTAAGGGGCCACAACTCAGTAATACATAGTATAATTAGGCTTTAATTAAGGGGCCACAACTCAGAAATACAAAGTGTTAATGCTGTTTCGCAAAGCACTGCAGTAGCATATATTTAGTAATTAAACACCCTTAAACTTTTATAGAACGGAAAGAAAAAAGTTATAAAAGTCAAAAAGTTAGTAAGTGAGTGCAATATGTATTTACAAATACAGTTACATTTTATGAAACCAAAACTCTTATCAGTGCAAGATAACACAAAATTCTATAGACAAAAATTTAACAAATCAGTCAACCATTGCCTATATTTTTCAGCATTTTGTTTATGGTGTTTGGTCCCATTCGGAGAGAAAATTAAATTGAAATAAATAGAGGAAGAAATAACAAGAGCTGTCAATGCAAAATTTGCACAAAGTTTTTCACAAAGGGCAATAATTCAGTCAAACTCTATTCAAGAGTAACAGGTCTTAGGCTGTGACCTCTGAGACATGCTTTAAGTCCAAAATTAGATTCTGAACTGTTTTTGGGGAGATATTGTGAATTTGCTCATACATAGCACAGTATCTTAGCTTTTAATACAATTTGTTGGGACAACTGTTTACATTAATTTTCATGTTCAAATGAAAAGGCCGTTGTTCCAATGACCTACTTCAAAAAATTTCATTACATTGTTGTTGACACATGAATACTTGGTGACTAATTTGTATGAATATTTGTAACTAAGTCTATGGAAATAAAAATAACTTGCCAGAAATTGAAGAATTTTGTTGTGTGCAGGACTGCAGGATAATGACAAACCAGTACCCGAGCAACAAAATGTTGCAGTAAATAGAGAGAATGAAAATTATATCAATATATAATGTCATACTTTCTATTAAATACCTCAAGTTTAATATCAGATGGAAGATGACACAGTCAGATTTTTGGTGAACCGATACTCTTCTACCTATGAAATGAGCCTTATACTAATATACTCCTTGTTTACAAAACAAGGTGTAGCCGCGACGGCATATTTATTTATCATGTATGTCTGTGATATGGGGATGATAAATAAATATGCCATTGCGGCTACATCCTGTCCTCTTAGACTAAATAGGAGTAATGTGTAAGTAATTTAATGTTCGTTACGCCATTTCAAAACCCCTATGTAAATATTTCATATTGTAATATATACATGTAACCTTTATGGAAAGAGTATCCTATACATGTATACACTTAATCCTGATTTACACCACCAGTTCTAATCCAGGATAAAGACAAAAACTATAAATAATACCTGTACTAAGTACTGTTGATACAGGTGAGATACTCAGATATTAATGATCACCAGTGCTAAGAATTAATACATGATGAAAATGTGTGATTCATTTTAAAAACAATCTAGTATCATTCCGCAAGCTCCTCAACATGTTTTTCTAATACAGAACATGGAAAGAATAATCATGTTCTATGTCATTATGAATGAAGCTTTGGATCAAACAATTTGTCACTGTCAACTGTTAAATCTATGATTTAATACATGTATATGATAGGTTTTGTACTATAATGATAACTAATTAGCATATCAAATAAAAAAGTAACTTACTTGCAGGGAATTCCCCAGGATTTTTTTTAAGCGCTACATTTTTTTAATAAGACGGGGGTGGGTGCGGGAGGGGGTCTTGACCCCCATACCGCGTGTCGAAAATTTTTGCCATTTAAGGTGTCAAGATACTGCTGTGGGCTGTTTTAAAACAAATAATGAAAGCTTTTCGCTTGATAAACATTTTCTTAATTTTTATTATTTACTTTGTCCATTTCCAACAATTCAAATAAATAAACAATTATATATAAACACAAGTTCACAACATGTGATCACATTTATATGTATGTGTGTGTCCCATTTAAATGAGTATATTTCAGTTGTTTTTTCTTCATTAACATCATTAAAAGTGGGCCTGTCTTCTAGGTTTGTTGTCCTTCCATGCCTTGACTGCCTTCTCAAAGTTGAAAGATTCTAATGGGGGTCCTTAAAGGGAGACGGCAAGAAGATAGTTTAGAACTTTAACAGAGAGACAATTCCTGTTTTCAGTCTTAACTCTCTTCAGGCAGCTGAATCCTCGCTCAAAATCTGAAATTAATAAATGAAAGTAATCATTTATGTTAACCTCATGTCTTTTATTTATATTGTTTGTTTGATGTGAATATTTGAAAATTTAAAACTTCCAGCCTGTTTAAACTTAACTAAGTAAAAAAAATTATATTTGAAATGTTGAAAAACTTCTAGCAAAGTGTTACACATCTGCAACTGTCATTGGAATTTCATTAATGTTCAAGAATGAATGAATTTAATAATGCTTACCTGCAGTAGTGGTTGGTAGGAGGAGACCCACAGCAGCAATTCTGTAAAGAGCTGGATGACTGGTAGAAAGGTTGCCAGTAATCCAGGTCATGGTCTGGTCAGCTGACTGATCAGTCCCCTCTAGACTGGCACGTACCTGGTGCCAGTGGCTGCGGCACTGCTCCATATCTACACCAAAGTGCCTGGCCAGCTCCTGTATGTCCTGACAAACCAATGCTAAGGGGTAGGACAGTAGATTGCACTTCACAAAGCTGTCCATGAACAGGCTCGATTAAAGATGGCCTGCAAAGTTAATATTTTTTTTCATTTTGGGGATTCACTGAACAGAAACAGATTACAAGATATTTTTAATTAAAAAAAAATGACCAATTGGCTGTCACTAAGTGGGATCGTTGATGTAAAGTTTTTGTTGTTGTTTTCACTCATTTGCAAGTTGATAATGAACAGTCGTAAATGTTTTCAATGTTAAAGTAGCCATCAACCAAATTTATTTCTGAATATCTATGCAGTTTAATCCAAGAGTAAAAAAAGCAAAAAAAAGCAAAATGATCCCGAGACAGTTTCAACGACATTGCTCACAAAAAAAACTCTTAAAATTGATAGTGAACTAGGCTTCCCTTATTCATGTTAGACATATTATTTTTTGAAATCTTAATACTACAGTACTGCTGAGACGTAACGATCATAAGAAAGTGAAAGATGAAATTGAACATTACACTTATATCAAGACAATTAACCTATTCATCCCTAAATATCAAACTGTTATAATCACATGTCAGTTAATGCCAATTATATTATCAAAGCAATAAAAGTTATTACACCTACCTGAAACATGTAAATATCACACATGCCGCGATTAAATTGCACCCATCTCAATACACGGTAATTGACAACACATGAAAGTGCACCAACAGTCGTCTGCAGACATCGATGACAGGTGTCTGTGACGTCACACAGTCTAAAGGCAATCAGTGTATCGGGTTGTGTATACGCCTCGGGTAATTATCTACACAGGACATGTATACTGGCTTGTTTATTTGGCTAATTGGGGTTAACTTATAGACACAAAAGAAAGGGATATCGGTCATTTTTTAAGGCGCTATGATAATTTTAAGCGCATCGGGATTTCTTGTTCTGAAATTTTAGCGCATCGGTACCGATGCGCTAAAAGCGCCTAGGGAATTCCCTGACTTGAACAGAACGTCACAGTGAGTGTTCAGTAATTTTAGGAACATCTGTTTACATTTTCTAATTGGAGTCTGGCTGCAACAATATGTGGCCCGTTCTTCGAACATTACTAATTGGACAAGCCGGGAACAAGTTCTTATACTAACGAATACACTTACGAATACGAACTTGGTTATCGTTGTCATCAGAAATGCAGTTTGAAAACTATATAACATAATCGATGACAAATTGATATCCATTTTTGCTTTTATATGCGGAAGGTAGGAGGAAAAGAAAACACACACGAAAATAAAAAATACTACAAAATGTCGACAGAGAAGTTTTACAGGGAGGTAACTCTGAGCGTCTGCATTATCTTCAACAACAACAACAACAACAACAACAACAAGTAAATTGTAAACGACTCCTCTTGAAAGGAACTTTATACGGTGAGGTACATGTACTTTGTACAAGGAATATCCAAATATTACAAATAATGAGTATTGACATATTTTGCTATATATTTTATATACTGGCTGTATTCACACACACGCTTTTTTACTATTTCTTAGAGAAATCGTGTCAACAATGCAATTTGGACCAAAATTGAATAGAACTTAACAGTTTTAATGGACCATTGACTTATGTTTTTAACTTTTGATTGGTTATTTAAAAGGCATTCCTGGTACTTATGACGTAAAAACAAACATGGTTGCCAATCAAATGAGGTTCTTTTTGATGTTTAGTTAATATTTCTTTTAGATAATGATTATTTTTATCTAATAATGGTAACTTCTTCACCCAGTAATAATTTCATTCATTATTTGATTGTCAGCAAAATTATTATAGTGCTTACATTCCCTGTAGATTACAAGTACTGCAAGGAAACAAACTTATGATTTCCGGATGAAATGAAACAAGTAGTTTTACCTTATTGATACTTTAAGAAAAAATGCTACAAATGTATTCATTCAGTCATTGAAAATTCCCACACAATCATACAGAAGAATTTAGGGATAATATTAATACAAAATGTGAAATATGATATTACCAAAATAGAAAAAACAGAATCCCAAAACGGCAAAATTGAAAATGCTGCAGGCTGGGTTTGACTGAGCCTGTTCATGGCCTGTACTGGCTGGTAAGCCATGCTACGTACTGGATTCGTCTGGCAGCATAGAAATGATAACCGGGGCCCTACTGCTCCTTCTCACTTCATTTAAAACACATTCCTGGGATGTAGCCATGCAGGACTTAGTTAAATTAACTTAAATGTTTGATATATTTCAAACTGTTAAATGATAAAATCCCTGCTTAAATTAAGGCCCTTTTTATGTCCATTTTGCCACCAAACTTAAACCATCCACTGGGAAGTGGGAGGAAAAGTAAGGGAAGGGATGCAGTTGATTGGTGCATCATCCTGCAACTAATTTTGTTGAATACTTTCATGTAGGAAGCAATAAGTTTACTCAGGGGATAAATTTCAACTTAAGCATGTCTTTAAAGATGTGAGAGTTTAAGTCTTTAATAACTTTAATATATAAAGTAGACAAATAATATTGATAAATTAGTTTTGATATACGTGGACTGTATGGTAGAGACTTCTATTTGCAACTTGCCTTATTACATGTCCCTCCCCTCCTTTTGCTGCCTTTGTGTCTTTTCCCAATTTTTGGTTTGGTGACTTCTGGGTGCCCCACTGGTGTGACAGGATTGTGTAGGGGGTTGCGTTCTGTGAATGTGACATTGCCTTGATCTTTATTCTATTTTTTTTTTATCAAAGACCTCACATTTTTAACTTAAATCTTAAATTTATCTTTTATGTTTCTTCTAGCTTAACATGGATGTTAAATCAAGCAGTCACACAACTGATTCAAGACAATCAAGTCTTAAAACAAATGAAGTCAGTGATTTTGGTAGTACCAATGAAGATGTTAAAAGAAATACATCAGATAACATGGGAGACCAGGAGCTAGAACTATTAATGCTTACTTGCAAACGGCCTGAAGCAAAGGGAGATGTCAACTTATTTGAAGATATGTACCAAAGTTGGAAAAATCAGGAAAAACAGTCAGCAGAAGCAGAAAAGATATTACATCAAAAGTTAAAAATTTGTGAAAAGGAGAAAGACATTGCTGTAAGAAAGGTGAAAGATTTAGAAAAGAATGTACAACTTCTGCAAACAGCTGTTGAAAGTCTGCATAATGATTTAGACATTGTGGACAAATTTGGCAAAGAAAACATGGAATTGAAAAAAGAAATCAAGGAGCATGAGGAAACTATTTGCAAACAAAGAGAAATGTTTGAATCCAAATGTGATGAACTAGTAAAGAAAAACAAAGAAGTCTCAAGTAAATATCAGAAAGAAATATTTGATCTAAGGGAAGAAATGGAAAGGAAAATCAATGCTAAAGCTAAAGATATGGATGACTTAAAAACAGAAAAAGATCAAGAGCTAGAAAAACTGGGTAAGGAGATGCTGTTAGAGAAAGAGAAGTTGAAGATGGAGTATGAAAACAAGCTGGTCAAATTACAAAGGCACAAAGCTACATTTTCCTTAAACCAGCAACAATCTTCATCAGCTAATCATGAAATCTTTAGACAAAAACTACAACATTTAAAGAAGGAACATGAAACTGAAGTGATTACATACAAGGAACAAATTAGGCATTTACAAGAGCAGCTTAATGCCAGTGTATCCACACAGAAAGGTGCTGTATCGAACAGACAATCTTTCACAACACAACCGCTTTTCAAAAAATCTAGAAAGTTTTGAAGATTTATCTAAACCAAGGGGAAAGTTACATAACCAGCAAGTGACCTAATGACACCATTTCTTTTGTTCAAGAGTATCCAATATGATTATTGGCACTACGAAAGCAGACATTTAGTATTCCGACATCATCTATTTTGTTAAATTATGGGTTTAAAATTTTGTACAAAAAATATTCTCAAAATCAAAACTCAACTCTGTTTATTGTTGTTACGTAATAAAAGAAAGATAAAAAACTTTGTTTTTAAATCATTTAACAGTAAGGTTCATTCAAAACAACTTATCATTAAGAGCCTGAGGGCCTATATTTCTCAGTTCAAGGAGTAATGCTAAAGTTCCCTTGAGATAAAATAAAGTTTTCATAGTAATAATAATGATAAGCCATATATTTTTCTGTCTTCTATGTGGCTAAGACTTAAATATGTCCTTCATGTATTTCCACCAAACTTATGCATTAAAATTTACTGTAGACAGGAATCTTGATTCAAAAATTGTCATCAGGAAGTCACTGAACTCTATGACTTGACAATAACCTGTTGGTGGTTCAGCCATCTTTTTGTTGTTATCAAACATCCTCAGTCAGTGCTGACTAACTTTTCACTTACTCATGGGAAATATGGAAAAGTATAAACTAACATAAACTCAGTTTTTTTTACCATAATTTTTATTCAATTTACATTATGACTTTTAATCTTAAAATAGTAATATATGTAATATAAATAGGGATGACAGCAAAACCCTCAGTTACATATAAATACTACACAGTAATAAAATCAATAAACAATTATAGACAGAAGTCCATATCTGTCAACAACATACGGGTAAATTATCAACCACTCACCCAAATTCTTTAATATATATATTTACATTTTATATTTAGGCATTTAGGCTGCTTAAATAACTTATACACAATAACATGAATTTAAAAAAAATCAAAACGAAAAATCAAACAAACAAAAAAATCAAAATTTGAACTACCTTGTAGTAAAGCACCAGTGTAAAATCTCTTAAGGAAATTAAATTTTATCCAATTCTAAGCCATGAAAAAGACTTCTCTTATATTCCCAGAACCTTAAGACACATGTATATACTACAGTGATTTATACCCCATCATTTAGCAGAAGTGGTCACAGAATAACATCATTATCTGAAAATTGTGCTTATTACTAATTGCAAGCTAGAAAGAAATTGAAAAAGAAAGTGGTTTGTTGAAAGGTCATTCTCAACCTTGACCTATACTTTATAAAAATTATCTGTGATCACAACACTTGTTCAGTTATTTCTTGGCTTTATCTAGGGAGTATATTTGTTTAGGAAGCCATAAAATTAAAGTTAATTAAGGGCTGGTCTTGATGTCAAAACCAATATGAATTCATGATGTTACATCAGTCGTGTATACCAAAATGTATTAAAATTTGGCACCTTTTTAAAATATTCACCCTTATCCTTCAGAGACAAAATGGTGGTAAGACTAGAACCTTTCCATCAGGAGTAGAGTTAGGCCAGCCTTCACTTCCATGCAGTTTGACCAGATCACACTAATGGTTCACTCATTCCACATTTAAAGGTATATGTAACCTTGAGCCAACACAGTGGCAGCAAGGGTTCTGCAACATCACCTTGAGGTGAAATTTAAGCGGAGATCAAAGAAAAGATTTATTAAGTAGACATTGATCTCATAGCAATGTAATAGAAAATTTAAAAGCTTATAAGCTACTGAAAACTGATTTTGACTACTTGACCATTTTTATCTAAAGCATTTCTTAACTTGTCTGTATGGTATTTACACAGTTAATTCTTGAAAATTTCCACTTGTCTGTACAGGCTGTGGGACAACCTGGCCCTATGTTCACTAAGAAAAGATCAAGTAATCCTGATTTTATTTTCATTGTTCTCTGTTACTAAAATTAATCGTGCTTTGATAGAATACAGTGGTAAATATTCAAAAAGTAAAAAATTGCTGATTTGCAAAAACCTAACTATTTTGGGATAAAATCAACAAATAACAAAACAATTAAAAAAATATTCAGATCAAAATAAGGATCAATTTTAGGATCAACTGTAAAATGCCCGTATCTTGCAAAAAATAATAATAAATTTATTCTAAAATTGAATAAACTTGCTATCGCAAGTCCAGTTTAATCACATGAATATTAGATATTTAATCTATGAGGATAAACAAAGAAGAATATTAGAGTTTTTAAATTTGACTCGGATGTGAACACTGGGCTTGGGCAATACGGACAATTGATTTTGCTGGCATCTTTTGCTGGCATTAAAGGAAATTTACCCATAAGCTGTTGTAATCTACCTACAGACTGATGTAACTGACATGAAAAAGTGATTTAAGAATATCCCACCACAAAAGAGAAAATCACTGTGAAAACTTTGTAAAGTTCAGGCCTAGGGCTATAGAAAAGTCAAAATGTGTATCAATTTTATATCAATTTAAAATGAAGCAAAATACATGTATGTTCTGATCTAAAAAAAAACAACCTAATCTGATATAGACCTTTATTCTCTATTTAACATTTAAAAATCAACATATATGGTACAAAGTGAAATGAAAAAACACATGACTAATTAAATCTATTGCACATGAGACAGCAAATAAGGGGAAGTAACTACAACTGGCACATCTTTAGATGAAAAAAAAAACAACATGAATAGCTGCGATATAGAAATGTCTGTATATGCAATATCAATGCATATACAATTTCTATTACATGTAGTTCTTGACAAAACTCTATTTAATCCTTACCATGCTAAAATATATTTAAATGGACTAATCTTTCATTCTAGACAAAACCATTCATCATCTTTAGAATTTTTTTTAAAATAAGTGCCAACTGAATAGCACACAGTGCAGACCAAACCATGATTCGAGTGCACAGATGTGCCGGATGATCTTGGTCTATACTTGGTGCAGGGATAGGATCTGTTGCCACTAGCAGGCTAAAGGCTACAAAATATTACCATTTTAACAACTTAACTTTTCTGTGGAGAAAAAATAATTTTTCAATATCTGATTAAAAAATAAATAATTCAAACCAATCATGTGGGTTTTTAGTAAGAATAATGCTTACAGCATTGAAATACTACTGTACAAACAAACATGATATATACATAAATAATCAATCATACTATATGAATGAAAGTATTATTACATACATATACGAGTAGTATCCCTGTGGGATCCAAAATAAACCAATATTTTGACCATTCTTTGACCCTTATCTTGATTCCCAAGATCAGAGATTGAATTGTTGATAATTGTCTTTACAAATAAATGCCACAAAAGTTAAAACTTATATAATTTTAAAAAATCAAACTTGCTACCTGTCTATAAAATGTAAAAAATTGACTCCTGTTATATGATAGAAGTTTAAATACTCTGTTTCTAATTGACAGCAATGTGACAAATGGGGCATTCAACCCTTGTTGTTATTAATATAAAAGCTAGCATAAAATCAATTCTCAAGTGAAATATTTCCTGTAAGTTTCTTCTTCTCTTCAAAGTATTGAAAAATAACAGTTTCATGACTAAATTATTGTGAATCAAAATTTAAAACCATGCAATATTCAACAATAACAAAGGAACTCAAAGTTTAAAGCTATTTCTAAAAAAATAAAATTCAGTAAATGACAAAATATAATATGGATCCTTATAATGTTAACTTTAATACCTCAAGTCAAAACTTTCTATCACAAAATTTATATTTGGTTTATACAGAATTTATTTTAGTTCTATTGTGAAGAAAGCTATTAGCTTTAGCCTTATACATATAGACACACTTTCGAATCCATTCCTGGAACCAAACCAGTACTGAGCAATCAATGAGAAAGTTTCTTGCTCAAGGAAACAACAACTTGCCCCTGACAGGGTTGGACCCACGTGGCTTGCGATCATTAGATTACTAGTCTGATGCTTTAACCACTCAGCCATGCCGCCACTTCCAATACATGTATATTAAAAAATATATATAAACATGCATGTTGGTGAACAAAGACATGTACCTATTTTTGAATATTTCACACTGTGAAAGATGTACAAGCCATCAACAGATCAGTTTAATTAGAAGTCACACACACTTTTTAATATCATGAGGTGAATTTAAAGTTTGTTTTCTTCTCGAACTATTCTAAATACACCCTTTAGCAGTATTCCCAATTACTCCTTAAGGGAGTTAGGGAGTATTTTACTACTAGAAATGTCTTTCATACCCAACAGTTCCTCTTACAGAGATGTAACAAACATATTTAATGCCAATATCCTTCAATATAAACTATCGTAGTGTATAAAGCTGTATCTCTGCTGCCTGCAGTTTTACAAAGGTTTTATTTGAAAAAGAATAACTTTAAAATGCTCGAATGAAAGAAATTTGTTGGCACATGTATATTGACTTACAAGCAAATTTTTTTTTAAGATCCATATACAAAATTGTTGCCTAACAGTTAAAACCCTACTTAAACAGCAGCACAATATTTTATGTATGTACAATAAGCATGTATGGTAAATAGCAGAAACATTCAATCATACAACTCTTCAAGAATTCCTCATGGAAACAAAACATGATTTTATCATTATTACAATCCGATAAAAATATTTCATTAGATATAGCTTTATATCCTTCAACCATTTTCCATTTTGCACGGCTTCATCTTTGATGCTGAGTCTCAACCTTTGTACCGGTAAGATCCAGTAACGCATACACTGCACTGCGTAATATTCCAGGGTATCATATAATATAACAGAGTAGACTTTTAAGACATGAAATGTGACATAAACTTCAGGCCAGTAATAACCATATAATAAAGATCACAGCTACCCAAAGGAAAAATTTAGACAGCATCTGTTCTTCCTGATGCTGGGGTGTCCCTGCTGGTGCTGAAATTATAAAAATATAATAATTCATATATCATAAATATAATCCATACTTGTTATCATGACAATTTTATAATTCAAGAATTGTGCTGTATTATAAACTGGTACATAGTTGATATTGAATGAGAATAGGTTCAATACTGAATTTATTGAACAAGTTGAATAAATTTTGTAATGTAGCTACACAATAATGATAATAATAATAATGATAATAATATTCTATTTATCACATATTCAAAATAAGAACTCGTTTACAGTAAAAATAGGAAGATTTTTTATTGACACACTTTTAGAATTCAACTAACATTTAGCACATCTTTGTGTTCTGTTTATGCTATGTTTGTTGAACACAAATAACATCATATCAAAATATATGCACTGGTGAGAATTACAAATAAATTATATTTCATGCCTAAACGTTTAACTTACAGCAGAACAACCTGCAGTAAAACTTAACTAAAATGAGATGTTTTTATTTTGATTTAGACTTAATATTTATTTTTCCAGATTCCCTGATAATTGATACTGAAGCAACCTTTTACTGTTATAAAATTTCAAAGTCGAAGCATTTTAACATGTACATACGTGGACCGGGTCGACCATCATTGAAGTTAAACGTGGAAGCAAAGATACCAAATGGAAATGCACCAATCCCGAATGACATGTGGAAACCACCATCACCAAAACCAAAGCCTGGAAATCCCTGTGTAAATAGATAAACAAAAGACAGAATTTAATCAAAACTGACCATATTACAGGCAGATGCATGTAGAATAGACCTAGCAAGTTACGTTACATATGGTAGCCTGGTTGCCTGAATTTTTTTTGTACTTACCACTCTCCCAAATCAGGCCATAAGTAATGGAATAAATGCTGACTTCATATATTTTTAACACATGTATGACAGATCTAAATAATAAAGTTCCTATGAATTTTTATTGCCTAGGGATCAGTTTATCCACTTTATCTGTACACTTAACAAAGTTTTTTTTTTATTTACATCAACAAGCCAAAAAATATATGAACTTAACTTTGAATCATAAAAAAAAGAGGATAACTTTATATTAAAACCAAGTTGATAAGACCTACAATGAAAACCTTTTAGGTGAAAACTATACAATACTTACTCCCTGAGTTTCTGGCTCTGCCCTTTGACCTTGAGGCCTTGGTGGTAATTTCTCCCTACAATTACATAGAATCTACATTACACTGTTTCAAACACATCAATAATAATGTGGGCTTCCATTTAGCTCAGTTGTATCACGATTTGCATGGGCAAACATGTTAAATCAGTGAATTTACCCTCTTAACATTATTTATTTAACTAGTCCCAAAAATGCCTCTACTTTACTTACACTGAATTGTAAACAATCCGGAAATACAAAATGTAGATTTCTTTAACAACTATTGTGTAAATGTTCTTTGTAACAATACATGTAGTTTTGAAAAAAAACTGATGACTTACGCTAATAAGACTATCAAATAATATTCACCTACAACCATATAATATTTACCTAGGATCTTTATTATCAGTACTGCCTCTGCCATATATTGGAACAACCTGATCTTTTGAAATACCTGCTTTACACACTGGACATGTCTGTCTGTTTGGTCTTGTCTCCAACCACTGGTGTAAACATGGCCAACTGTAATGAATAAAACAAACTGTCAAATATCCTACCTGTGACCTATTTTCTACAGGTCTTTGTATGTAATCTATACCTTGATGAATCGGCATGTATGACTTTCTTAGGCAAAAAGCAATACTAAAGACCTGTCTAGGGCAAGTAGCAGTAATTTCCTTTCATTAAGGGTCGTCAAAGGCTCCACACAATGCCATGTTAGCTATAGACTACAGGTGTATATTTTTGAAAGGAACATCATTCATGTATATATTTTTTAGTGCCATTTGCCTTTCATGGATTTTCAATGAAATCTCAGACACAAAGTCAGTGTTTCTGCTACTCTGTGTTTCTTGCCTTTTTGATGCAATAATTCCACGAATAATGCAATGAAAAAATATGCAAAGCGCGTTTTCTATGATGCAGTCACTACTGCCTTGCATGTTATTAGATGCATTTTCATTAAGTGATTTCTCCTATTATTAGCACCATCCCATTTAAATTGGCAATCTAATAATTGTTTGAGTATACGAAATGGCCAACCGAAATTCATTTATTCCCGGTAACTGCCGGTTGTAAAAAACTTGTATAACTTTTGCTAACCGATTCTGTGTCGTAATCAGCACAACATTTAACTGTTCAGTCACGGTATCCAGGATTTAGACATGTACAGTGTGGGTAAACAAGCAATTTGTGCATGCAGACAATTATTTTCACAATGGCAAACACGCCATGAAAGAATCAAAGATCCTAGGGGCTTTAATAAGAGACATAATTTACTTTTGTAGTTTTAATTTTTTTTTTTAAATTTAACCCTTAATAATTTCAAATGACCTCAATATTTTTATACAGAGGATCACGAATGACCCCCCAAAAATTTAGTCTGGTAGAAACACTGCAAAGTCAAGCAATATTCTGTAACTATTTATTTTTATTCTTATGGTAAAAGTTTTGGATTTGGTAAATGGCTTTCATATTTCGACTTCAAGACCGACCGATAATAAAATCTGATATTACGTAGATTTCGATCGCCAAGGGCAACCTTCTTCTTCATAATAAAAAGCCCAAAAGCGCACAATTTGTTGGGCTAGCTTGCCATATTTCTGTGGAAGACAAATTATACACAGATTTCAATTAAAAAGATAATGATCTACCAAAACAAATGTCCACAAAGGCTCACTACTGCATCTCTGGCTGTATCTAGACATATATTGCACTCGAACATGGCATTTTCAGATTCAGGTTCATCATTTTTACCACCACCCTCTGCACCAGCTGGGCTTGCATCACTCATTTTTTTGTCCCTTTTGCTGACAAATTGTCTTAAAAGGCTATAATTAAACAATATGCTGTACTGTTGTTTATGTTTACATTAACAGATCACATGCTTGAAGCATAAATGTTAAGAATGACAAGAAAAACATGTTCTCAAAATTAACGTCTAAAATCTGTCAAAATTTTGTTTTGATAACTATTACGCATGCGCAAAGCAATTCATTTCCGACGGAACCGTAAGAATTACAATGTAATAACATGTTATGTTATAGGTACATTCCTACTAAATTGTAGGTCACTAAATAATTTTACAAAATGTTTTTACATAGTTTTTACACGTAAAATATTTAGGTATTGCATGTTACTTTTCTCAAAAGTTATAACACAGAAAAACAAACAATTTTAACAAACAATTTCAGTCAGTTTTCTCACCAATTATATAACTCTCTCTTACAGATACATGCATACAAAAACTGAGACTTGTCGACCCCAGTTATGTCAGTGTACATAACGTTTTAAGGCACACAAACCCTTTGGTTAAAAGCTAGCTTTTCACTGACAGGGTTGGTGTGCCTTAAAACGTTACATCAGTACCCACAAATGAGTAGTATCATCATCGGTAAGACAGGTCTTCTAAAGCTACTTGCCAACTTCAATGTTGCCCTGACAACGTAAGGCCAATCGTCCTGCAAATGTATGCCCTGTCTACAAAAAAGATGATACCAGTGATCCATCAAACTATCGCATAATTTTCCTTACTTGCATCCTCTGTAAAACACTTTCAAGAACACATAGTTGCCTCTCAGCTGTCCTCACAACCTACTCTACGATCTTCAGCCTGGATTCAGAGAAAGGCGATTATGTGACACACAGCTCATTGAACTAAATGATTACCTTGTGAACAACCTTTCAAACAGCAAAAAATAGAATATAAAAAAATAAAAATCAATAAATAAAAAAAAATCTCATACTACTTGACTTCTCTAGCTAAAGCTTTCGAAAATATAGACCATCTTAAACTTTTAGATACCCTTCAAGAACATATGGTGTCTGTCCTCAAATTTGCTGACGACACTGCTGTTACTAACCATTAATTTCTCCTCAGATCCCCAACACTCCAACATGATCTAGACAATATGGTTCTGTGGGAGAAGCAGTGGGACATGGAGTTTTAGTGCCAAGTCATCCATATCACCAAATACAAAAGCCATGATTAAACATCAATATATGCTCCATGGCCAAGTCTTAGAATCCCTCTCTAGACTAGATCTGTCTGCTGACCTTAAATTCGACACACAATATTATATATCACGAATAACTAACTTTCAATGCAAACAGATCCCTTGGCTTTATCAAAAGGAATGTAACTACCAAAAATGAGAAAGTGATAGAACTAGCATATATAAGTCCTTGGTCCGGCCACAGGTTGAATATGCATCAACTATTGGGTCTCCGTACACTTAAACCAATGTTGACAATGTTTAGATGATTCAGAGATATGCAATACGATGGGTAAAAAGGATTATTCCCCTCAGCCATGCAGGAAGACCTGGGCTGGCGATCCGCTGAACAGTGCAGATTGGACCTTGGACTCATCATTATTTATAATACCAAAACCTATAGTTGCAATAAATCCCCCGACATACACACATGTATGTCCCTGTCCCGACATATGCACCCCCTATCCCTACGCCATAACAGGTTTCCTCCGACTACCATTAGTACTCTTTCTTCCATCATGTAGCATTATACTATGGAATAAACTCCTTAGCTTCATTGCTACCCTGCCCAACTTAAGTCAGTTCAAACATGCAGTGGTAGGATTGCAATATAGGTCTTGTCCCATGTTTACAAACTCATTTTATCTCACCTCTCTCTCTTTCACTAATTAACAAATTCTTCAAACTTGAGCTAGAATACATTCCAGTCTACACCTTCCTAGCATGTTTATAATGCTTGAACTATTTTGATTTTTATTCACCTTAACGTTCACTAAATCCCTGTCTATAACACTCGCGAGAGGGATTGGCAACATTCAGAGATATATAGATATTTTCTTTTTTTTTCGGACATTTTGTATATTGGTATGCTCTAAAATTTCTTGTTTGTATGTTTGTATTTGTACTTATTTGCGCGAACTTATACACTCTTCTAGAACTAATTAGATAATGATTAATATTAGATCTTAATATTTTTGCGTGCAGTGTTTGATTATAACAAGGTATTTCTATTTGAAAGACACTGACTATTAAAATAATGGGGTTAAGATTTCATTTCATAAGTTCTTATAGTTTTGACTTGATCGGGTTTAGTTCCCATTTACGTTTGCGAGATTTAATTGATGTTTTATGATCAATCACAATTATAACTGTCGAATAAATTTATTTTAGTTAGTTAAAGAAATGGTAAGGTAGAATATTAGAAAAAAATATAAAAATTTAGAAAAAAATAAGTGTATACTATTACAATATAGACAAATTATGTTCTATATATATTTTTGGAGAGCTTACGACATTGCGATTGATAGCCCATCTTTTCAAAATAAGTTTCTGTTAAAATTAATGGTCTTTATTTGTGTGTGTTTTTATATTATATTGTAAATGTTTTTAATTTTCAGTTTATCGGATTTCTCTACGACTTACTTCCCCCTTCATATTTTTAGTTTTTTTGTTTGGTGATGTCGGCAATGTTATGTAAGTATATGTTTTGTTTTTCAAAAAGACCAAACAATCAATAGTTTTGACCATTCGAAACAGTAATATTTATATACATAATTATTTTTACTCATATGACAATCATTATTCTGCGTAAGAAACATTTTGCTGTTTGTGAAATGAATTTCTTCCTCACCATTTTTTACTTTAAAAAGTGCGATTTTGCAATTTGTACTACATCACTATGTGCTAACAATATCGTGTAACATTCATAACTGTTGAAAAGTTAATAGTAAAATATTATTCTATATAAAACACGTTTTTAAATGTGAATAAAAACATGAATATCATACAAATGTTGGTGACGTTATAATTTGTGGCACAATATCACGCAATGTTGAAAGATTAATTATTCAAATATTAATCTTATATTACAATACCATACGAATATGATTTCAATTGTTACAATGGTTCTTATGTACCATTTTTGTACGGGTGCCTTTGAATAAAATTTGAAACGTAGCTTTAGACTGTCACGAGCTTCTATATGTTTATAATGAGTTTTAAACTATTGTAACCGTTCGAAGTACAAAAAACTAAAACAATCTAATAAATGACTTTTTAAAATAAATAAGACCATAGACCAGGCTCTATATAGTTTTAATATGTTTTGCTTATTCAAACCATATGCGCTAGCAGGGGATTAAAACATTAATTTTTTTTTTGCTTATTTAAACCATACGCGCTAGCCGGGGCTTCAGGCGTTGACAAAATGCAAATGGGTTGGGCAACAAGTTCTTACAACGTTAGATTAAGCCCTTCCCAGAAATTAATATTACAGAAGAAAATACTTTACGGCAACAATGATTAATTACTTTTAACATGCATATAAACTTTAAAATATGTATTATATTTTTGAACAGTTCATTTATTCATTAAAATTTAATGTACTATTTTGATTTTGAAGTGCGATCCATCCACAGGTTGCCATCCTGATCTCACTGTAGTTGTTAAAATAGTTGAGGTTTGGTTTTTGGGGAAAGATTGATAATGAATAATATTTGTTATTTAAGTAAGTTAGATTGGAACAAATAAGCCAATATAAATGACAAATTTTAGAATAAAAACAAAATGAAAAGTCAAATATTATCAAAACGATGGGTCGTCTTGATAAATTTTTGAACTGATTCGAAAATGACAACGTTACCTTTGTATTCTAAATTTTCACGACCGAACAATAATGAATCCATGTTTAATGGATGATAAGATCGGGTTTCTTGAAAGAGTATTATTCGTTGTTCGACGTAACGATTACAATTGAAAAGGAAATGCTCGGCATTTTCAATCACAATATCACATTGACAAAAAGGGTCTTCGCGCAAATGGTTATTATATAAATCGTTATTTAAATTACTACAATTATTTCTTAAACGTGTATCTCTGGCCATAAAAATAATGCTTCGGAACCGTTGGTGCTTTAAAAAGATTTTTTAGGCTAGATTTAAATATGTTGAGTGTCTGAGAGTTTCGTATATTGGGGTCGAGGTTATTTCATAATTCTAACGAGGATGGTAAAAACGATGCATTATATAATTGAGTGCGTCTAGCTATAGTAACAGAGTTGTTATTATTTCGCAAAGGATAAGAAGTAGTTAAGGTAGGCAAACGTTATTTATTGTTTTTAATGCTTATTTACCGCATGTTTGCATGGATTCGGCGGTTAATTGATCATTGTAAAGTTTGACTGGTAAAACTTAAAGTCACATGATTTCGCGAGATATTATTTTCGTTTCCTCGTTAGAGCACTTTATTATTTGCTTTAGAACAATTTGTATTATCGGATCATTTTTCCCACACTATATCGCCATTGCCAAATTATTTTTTTGCATAATCAATGGTATGAAATATACTAGCAATTGAAATCAATAAAAGGTTAAATGCAGTACGTTAATTAGACTCTATTATTCAAATGCTGGCATATAAAATTTCCTCTTATTTTTTATCAACATGAATTTCCATTATATGAGGGGCCAGTCATTTACACATGTATCAGATAACTGTAGGGTCTCAAGCACAGTTTGATTTTGATGTCTGTGTAGTTGTTTAACTACAGGTTGTTAAATTGAAGTATTTTACCCATGAGCATACCACGTGTTTCTTATATTATGATACTAGTATTCATGGCATTTGATACATGTAAATGATACAACGTACTTTGGTAAGATATATCTGAAACCACATTGTTTTCGACTTATCATATTTTCATTTATGTAATCAGACAACATATTATCAGTCAGTAAACACATTATCAAGGTTATAAATCAATAAAAATAATAGTTTGTTAATTAGCCGGCTTATCAAATATAGTGAAACAAGTTATATGCTCATATCATAAAACGTTTGTACCCTCAGCCAGTCTGTCCTTTATACTCTTAGCAGATCGGATCATGCTGGGCAGAGATTATATCTATAAAATGACAGTAACATGTGAATTTCTTTGATGTTGTAGCATTTGTATAAATTATAATACATTTGTAAATATAAAAAATATCATTTTCATATTAAAATTTGCGC